ATTTCTCCCAGAGGTCTGGGCGGTTGGGGAGCTGCCTTTTTAGCATGTTGATGCTTGCTGTTCGGGAGTATTCGGCCCATTTGGAGTCTTGGTCTGCGATGGTGGCGTGGACGCTTTCTCGGATGTCCATCATCCAGGCGCGTACTTTCCAGAGGGCAAGGGGGAAGTATTTAAACAGGATTTGAGCCGGTTTCCATATGGCAGTGTCCAGTCTGGGTACGACCCAATTGGGTGTTCTTTGAAACACTGTTAGCTGAGCAGCGTCGGGCGCTATTTCAGGGATTATTTGTGCAGCCGTTGCGCCTGTGAAAAGCAAGCTTTAGTTTTATAGAAATAAGGAACAGAAATCGCGATGACGCCGGAATATTGGAAGAGCCATACCATTTCCGATAACAGCAATCCGCTTTCCCTTCAGATCGTAGGTCCAATCCCACCGAGCCGTGTGAATCATCTTCCCGTGGAAATCTTCGATTCCGGGAATTGATGGATATGACGGCGAATTGAGTTGGCCAACGGCAGAAACAAGGAAGTCAGATATGATTGTATAGTGATCTATAAATTCCGCATCCTTCGAACCTAATCCTACTTTAATAGCTGTTTTCCATTTTCGAGTTTTATCGTCCCATCTAGCTTCCTCAACAGCAGAGTTGAAGCGAATGAAACGGAACAGCTTGTATTTCTCGGCTACGCCATGGAGGTACCGCTATTGCCATTACATCAGTCACAGCTGATTAAATGAGAACTCAGAAGTCGGGGAAGGGGTATAGCCTCGTACCAGAATTTCTTCCTGATTCGGGTATAGTCTTGACCAATTTGGGTTCTGCTCAAAGGAATAGCTGTAGAGATGAGAATTAACTGCAAACTATCAGCAAAAATACCCCATCCCGTTCATACAAAAGAGAGCAACTTCTCCCAAAGCAGACGTACTATCACAACAACAGCCGGGATATTTGTTATCCCTCCACGTTCCGCCAAGTCCACCGCTCTTCTCAATGATTACGAAGTTGTGAATGTTGTTATTCAACAAGTTGATCGCGGTACACATTCCTGCAGAAACCGAAGGTTAGCAGTGACATCAGGGTACCTGCAGGTCTACATATTGGTGCCATCCAACTTGCCAGAAATGCCAGCGCCAATGATCACAACAGCAGCTTCGGCAAAATTCTTGTTTCCCACCTCGATCAGGGGATAATCTCCGTTTGTCGCCATGCTATGCCTCAACTCAATATGCAGAATGAAAAGAGTGTAGAAAACAGGAGAGTGAATGTGATTTTCCCGGGTTGCTGGGGAGGTTTTAGAAGGCCAAATAATATTTCAATGCAGAATCATTAAAGAGAGATACTGGGAAAAGAGGCACCACGGATAGCTCTTATGAAGAGGGAAAGAAAGCAACTAGAATCTCAGTACAATTTAAGGCTTGCTTCCATATCTCTGCTGCACGGGGAATGGTTAGTTAACGCAAGGAAGTGACCCGGTCGGTGCCACCGTTCGACAAACAGGGCGGGGATTTCCCCACGATCCGAGGAACCAAGGCAAGTTGTGCATCGTATAATAGATAACTCCCATGAATTAAGAGCTTTTAGCACTGAATATATAGCTCAATGGAAGGTGGTTAAGATCCCCAGGATGTGCTTTTAGTAATGTACTAGAAATCTTTCTTAAGTTCTTCCATGGCTCATTTAGCCATGATTCATGGCCCCTCGATCAGCTCGGGCAAAGTGCAATTCAAATAACATTCACAGCGCATCTTTTGACGACCGTGGATCCCATATGATTGGACTCCAGGCATCCTCACACGTTGCAGCATCTCTCCCCAAGAGATACCAGGACAGGCTAATGCCAGATGGTTTAGAGTTCGGGTATAACTAACTGCCCCGGGCGGACCTGAATGGACCGAGGCATAATTGGCTGGAAACTATGCACACCCCAAGGGTATATCATTGATCATAACCGCAAATCAACCTAGGTGTTGAGAAGCACAAAGTTGAACTGGAATGATAACTCTGTTGTATATAACTCACATGCTGCCATCCCAGAAACAGAAAAGGGGTAATAATTAACTCGGCTGAGAATGATGTCTCCCGGCCCAGCAAGGATATTTATCCGAATGAGCTTCCCCCATTTACCTCTGCAGTCAGTAATAATTGGAGCAGAGACATCAAGTCAGCAAGAATTGTTGAGCTCAAGGTGCTGCCTCTGCCGTATCCTGAGTAACTAGCGTTACGTGTAATTGGAAGTAGTGATTTGAGACGTAACTGGGAACCGAGCCTTTCGAGCAAACACATAATGACAGAATGGCAAGCTTAGTTGATTGCAAAGGTTGCTAACTACGAGAAACGACTATATAAACTATATATGGTGGAAAATAGGTCACATGACGGATGTGTCCCGACACATAAACATTTACTGTTAAGCTGGCTGAAAGGAGATAAACTGGTTACTTGAAAAGGTTAAGAAAAACCAAACTAATTGCTACATACAGTACATTCTTACATACTCTACCAGAGATAGCCTCAATTCAATTTGTCGGTTCAAAAGGGGTTGGGGGGGGGGGTGTCGATACAACTTCCTGCATTAGACTAGGAATTGAAAAAGTAAACAGTTATACATAGCAGTTTGTGATTTGGCAGCTGTGTAAGTGGAAGTGGCTGGGTTGCGGGTGATGTGATTAATTGGGGGAACTAGGCTATGATGATATCATGAGGGGCATATACAGGGTTGGGGGAACATGCGGTTGGGAAGGGTATTGGCAATCATGGGGTTAGCCTTGGGGATAAAAATAGTGGATAGGGAAAGATAGGTAACTAAATCGATTAAGGACAAAGGAAATGAAAAGGGGAAACAAACAAAAGTAGAGAAAACAGTGGGGTTTTAATAGAAATGGTGGATAGGTGCCCAAACAACGCTATGCTAGTGCTAAAGCTATATGGAGAAGAATGGGGAGAAGAAAAATGAATATTTTTCTTCTTTACTCTTTTTTCTTTTACTTTTTCTTTCTCTTTTTCTTTTTCTTCTCTCTCTCTCTCTCTTTTCTTTTCTTTTCTTTTCTTTTTTCTTTTTTTTCTTTCTTTCTTTTTTTTCTTGCCATTTTGGCTTATGGGAATAAGAAGTTGAGAATTGTGGGGAAGGGAGCAAAACAAGAATATTCTGACATAATGGCATTCAAATGGGGGAGGGAGGAAAGTTCAATCAGTCAGCTAGTGATTCATGGATCCGGCCATTTCAAGGGTTCGAGTGAAATATAAATTAATCAATCAATTGAGCAAGTGAACGGGAGGATTTCTTCGCATCTCGACTATTTGGGTTTTCGCCAGTAGTATTGCTATTGAATGAAATCGAGTCAATAAAACCAATGCACCTAGACGAACGAAATGGGCACATGCTGGTGAAAGGGATGAGTCATGTGGAAGAAATCGAACCTTGTGTTGCTTCCTACAACTCCGCAGACCGGGCTTCATCAAGTCATTAACAACAGCCTCCTTTCGCTTCTCATCCTCATCCAAATCGGGGATATAGTAATATTCGCTTTCAAGAGGTTTGCCGGCGGCATCTTTGCCTTCCCGGCTCACTTTGCCAATGCATGCGGTCGACTCTATAATGGATTTGATCTCCGGGGTTGAAAAGGCGCCGTCGGAGGTGGTTGTCTTCTTCCACAGCTCGGGTGGAAGGTGACTGAGAATCGTTGACAGCGGGCTGGATGATAATCGAGAAAAGGCAAGCTGATTCACGATGTGGTTCTGTACCTTCTCCTTGAGAGAGTCACCATCGTCTGCCTCAGCAGGTTTAGCGACGTCATGGGGGATGAGTGGGACGGGTGGTTTCCGCGTGCGGACACGAGGAGACCTGACTGGTGACTCTCTCGCAGAGAATGAAGCCAGACGGGGAAGTATATTATCGCCAAAGGGCCCGAAAGAGTGGATGATGGGATCGTTTTCCTCGTCATGTTCAGATAGATCCTCCACTTTCCCCTCGGAGGAACCAGACACGGAAGTCTTTCGGTTCTCGATGTTGAAAGGATTTGGAATTACCTGTGTAGCATGAGAGGCCGAGCTTGAGAGCTTTTGACCATGACTAGGAGACGGTTCATCCTCATATACAACCACGGCACTTTGAACTGAGAGGCTGGGGGTCATCAATGGAGCTTCAGAAGGCAGGAGGGCTTGTACAGCAGGAGATGGAGATATTGGCGAAGCCAGCCGTCCCCGGCTTCGTAGAGGACTGCTCGGGAGCGGATGTGAGGCGGTACGAAGCTTTCTCACAGGAGAGGCCTCTTCCCAGGTTTGATCTGAGTTAATGGTCGAGGAGGAATCTTTCTGTTCCTGTCTCGGCCACTGGACCAACACTCGAGCATCCTGCACATCGATCATGACATCCGCATCTTTGATATCAGAGGTAAATGTTTTGCCCTTGTTCAATTCATACGTTTTCCCCTGACAATGTAACTTGATTCCATTCCATCCGGTACAAAGAATCTCGATTCTATCTCGATCAAAGGGGTTGGTTGAGGGTTTATATGCGGCTTGTACATGTACCCGTGAGATCAATCGACTGGCTGATAACTGAAAATGACAAGAACCGCTGGATCTACCCATTAAAATACACTCCCCTGACTGGGGCAATGTTATCGAAGGAACAGTAGATAATGGAGCTCTTTCGGAAGCCATGGAGTGCGTTCTTGTAAGACCATGGCGGCGTGGATTGGTGCGAACAGGGGAAGAAGTCATTATTGCAGTAGACGAAGTGGGAACAGGGGTTGGATACGTTGATGCATCGTCTCCGGATTCTCGTGCCAGCCGTTTGAATGGCCGAGGAAGACTTGGGGAAGACGAGGGCTCGAAGGCTGGGAGGAGAGAAGCAGGCCTCTTCACACCGGCCACAGGAGGCAGTTGAGTGCCTGCTCTTGGAGGAGAGGACTCCATCCCAGGCAATAAGGTAAAAACACGTATTAATCGAGAAGTCTATCACTTCCAGAATCCTATACTCTGAACGAATCGCGTCAAAGTCGACCAATGGCTTGTGGAAAGGGCTATATAACGAAGCTCACGCTTACAGCATTTAGAGGCGTAACAAAGATGTGAACTAAAAAGGGAAAAAAGGAAAATGAAGGCAATAAAAAAAAGAAAACAAGAAACACAAACAAAGGTAAAAAACGAAAAACAAAAATCCGGCGCAAGAGAGGACCTCTCGACGGGGGAGAGAAAGGAGGAGAATTGAGGAAATGAAGTTGTGTGGGAAAAGATTAAGGAGACGGGGTGAGCAGACGCCAGAAGTCAAGAAACACACGCTTGGTTGGTCTCAACGCGTTCAAACAGCTCCACCACGGCGCCTCGCGATGCGCGGCTAGGAAACCAAGTAGATAGGGTTCAGGGGTGCAGCAGACAGCAGGATATGCTCAGGGAACCAAAGCTGCGGGGAACCGGAAAAGCCCAAATACCAACGAGGCTTTCCTCTCCTCCAATGTTCCAAGCCAAAGCAATATAAATCGTCTGTCATAATGGTTCATGGAGCAGTGAGTCCGCGGGTCTCCACCCAACAAGCTGCTGAGTCATCATCGCGACTCGCCAAGTCACGGGATCGACTTGGTATCGACCGATCTGACGCTATTCCAGAAAGGGAAAGGATCTGTTTTACACCACGTGATCAAGATGAGTTGCAAACCTTTTTTCGATCTAATTAGTCAACTAAACGTTCCCACAGAAGAAAAGTAAAAGAACCCAACGGCCCGCCCCTAAAACAGGGGTAAAACGGGAGAGATATTTACAAGCAGAAAAGGAGGATGTGTTGCATTGTGGGGCAGATGTTCTGTTAATACGGTCTATGCTTAAGCTTACATTATTAACGAGTTTCCTTCGTGAATATGTTGCTGTTGGCTGCCTCTCCACCCTGTCCGTAGGAGATTTCGACAATTCTTCCCCCGCTTCACCGTGGTTGCTTACAACTCCCATTGAATGCCATCTCTTCAGAGAACACGGTCGCTGTGAGAGAAGAAACGACACGACTACTACTCCTTGTCTTGTTTTCATCCAGAGTCCACTCATACTGCTTTCCGCCTCCGCTAGAACTGCGCACAGTACGCATATTGAAATCATAATGGGAAATCCAGTACTCGTAACCAGCCCCGCGCCCAGACCTGCGCATAAAAAGGGTGAGTCCTGTTTTGTAATATTTTCCTCTCGGAACCTTCTATTAATGAATATATCGCACAGTCTGGACCACCCTTATCACCAACACGGCCTACCTCTCTGGGCTCCTGACTCTAGACTATTCCCTCAAAAAAGTCGGGTCCAAATATCCCCTCGTAGCACTCTACACGGATTCATTCCCACCAGACGGGCACCTCGCCCTACAAGCCAGGGGTATTCCAAGCAGACATGTTCCTTACCTCCTCCCGGCTATCCACAAGGATTACAGCAATGACATCCGCTTCTACGACTGCTGGAGCAAGTTAACTCCCTTCTCCCTCGTGGAGTATGACCGTGTCGTCCAGCTGGACAGTGACATGCTGGTCCTGCGAAACATGGACGAATTAATGGATCTGGAACTCGACGATCCGGAATTGAAAGGTGATGGCTCGCGCGTCTTCGCTGCGACCCACGCGTGCGTCTGTAACCCATTGAAAAAGCCACATTATCCCAAGGATTGGTATGTCCTCGCCCCCTCTATCCTTCTTTCTTCATTATTTATTTATTCATTTTTTAAGAAAGAAAAAAAAAAAGAAAAGAAAAACCTGAAATTCGTATATAACCGCTTCCTAACGACGCAACCCGATACAGGATCCCCTCAAACTGCGCCTTAACAACCCAACACGCAGACCCCACCAGCGCACAGACGCAAGGCGCCCCATCAACCACAGGCCTAGGCGCTCTAAACGGTGGCCTCCAGGTCGTCAACCCATGCAGCTCCATCTACGATAAAATTCTAACCATCCTACAAACCCCCTCAGCGACATCCACCTACGAATTCGCAGACCAGTCGTTGCTTTCAGATCTGTTTCCCGGCCGTTGGGTGCCGCTACCTTATATCTATAATGCGCTTAGGACGCTGCGGTGGGAAGGTGTTCATAGCGAGATCTGGAAGGATGGAAATGTTAAAAATGTGCATTATATTTTGAATCCGAAGCCGTGGGATGGGAAATGGGATGGAGAGAGGGTCTGGGACGGGGAGCGAGATGACAAAAATGCTGTGACGGATGGGTGGTGGTGGAGGGCTAATAGGGAAAGGTTGGAGGAGGAGAAGAAGGCGGGGATTGTGGCGGATGGGTTTTAGGGTGTGGTGGTAGTTTTGTTTGGATTACCCCGTTTTCTCGCTTATATGGATGGCTATATACTCTTTTGTGCCATTTTGTCCGATTGAGCTGCAGGACACCTACTAGGATTACTCTCTGTTGACACCTTCGATACTCTCGTGTTTTGGGTTCGATATTGGAACGAATATCTAAAACGATCAGCTAGGCCTGAGTATCTACTATCAGTTATGCATTGAATTGGCCTATGTACCTCCCATTTCCCTCCTACCTCCCTTCCCCTTCCAAGTAAGCTTCAGAGAAAAAGACATACAGCATCCATGCATTCTTGAAAGTGCAAGTGATGATAGAATCTTCCAAGCAAACTGCAGCGAATGTCGATGAGATAAAAAAAAAAAAAAAAAAAAAAAAAACCCGCCAAACCACGTATCTGATTCCAATAAATTGTGGATACAGACAATTCAGTTTCTTCCCTTCTTTATACAAGACAGCACTGCGTGGTTTTGTCGGAAGCCGATCAATGGGTCAGAGCATGGCCCAATTAAAGAGCCCCTTTTTGTCCATAGAGAAAACGAAAACTCGTTGAGTCCTGCGCTGCAAAGGCTAACTCTAGAATATCCATGGCAGGAATATGTTGTTTGATAGCTTTGTTCCACAGTTCTAGCTGGTGCAAGAGAAAAGCTATCCGTAACGGGAGACCATAGTGGAGCGGCGGAATGTAACCCCCCGCCGTGTAGAGGTGTAGAGTACGTTATGTTGTGACAAGGAGCAACGCTTTTGGGAATAGAATGGGGAAACGAGCCGGGATGTCTAGATCACCTCTGTGATGGGATGGGGTATCCGAATTATCAAGACGATCCGGTCCAGCAAATAGATAGATGCTTCTCGAGGCCGGTATGAGGTTACAACTTGCGACGAACTGACTTCTCTCTCTTTTCTCCTTCTTCCTGCCTGCCACTGAAGAAGAAATGAAATGCATATGGCAAAGAGAGAGTTCTGTAGTCTAATTCAGGAGGTGAATTCAAGGATACGGTAATGGCATATGTGTGTAGATGTTCTTAGGCATGTATGGTGTGTAGTTAACAATATATATATATATATATATATATATATTTACGTGATAAAAGAAGTCAACAAACCCAGCCAACTTCCCACCGAATAAGAAAAATTTTCGCTTCTCAGCTTTCACGACAGGGCGAGTGACGAGATTGAAGAGGAACGAGATGCCCTTCTCAAGTTCCCTATTCTATGATAGAAGAGGACCTTCGAATTATTTTTCAAATCTTGCATATTTATGCGAAAAGGACGAGAAGAAGAGCTTCCTCGTCCAACAAAACACCCATTTTGGGAGGTGACATGGGAGGAAAAATGGGCTTCAGAGAATAAGCATACAACGTAAGCTTCAACGTTCCTTTTTCTTTTGTTCTCTTGATAATCCAATTCGCAAGCAAAAGGTGAAACGGATTCTGCAGACAAAAGCGGACTCGGGCCATTCTTAATGACCCTCCGATCCGAGCAATTGATCAAAAAGTTTTTTCTCTTCATGGATAACAATATCATCCGCAACTCATCCACTACAATTCTTCGATTGCTGGCCACTGGAAAGAGTGTTTGTAGCTTTTCTTCACTAGAACGAAGCATGTTCATCCACCATATGGAAGGATGGTTCGTTTATACAGCACCGGGAAACGAGTCGAAGAACATCCTGCTCTCGATTCCTGAATGCAGAAATCATATCCCCTTCCTCGCTATCAAAATTAGAGCTCGTGATAGGAATGGCAGAAGAAAAGGGGGGGAAGAATCATCTTCTCCAAATTTTAACCTGCCCTGCAAAAAAATCTCCGAATCATATCCCTATCATACGTGAGCCTCTAACCCATCTCACTTACTCTTCCTCCTAACCCCCAATATCCTCTCCTTGCCAACAAAAACACTCCATCTCTACAAAAAGAAAACGAAAGAAAAGAAAAGAAAAGCCAATAAATAAAAAGTATAAATCTCCCATTCACTCAAGTACCTAATACCATAAAAGAGGGAAGGGAAACCCCTAATAAATAAAAATTCTAAGTAATACAAGTAAAAAGCGTACGCAGGTACGGTGCACAGTAAAGACATATATAAAATAAATAAAAACAAGAAAAGCATGAGCCGAGGTTGCAGGAGCAAAGGAATGGGAACGGTTAAAGCCGTGAATGGGGTTAGTTTTATTTGGATAATAAAGAAAAAGAATAAGATTTTGCATTCGTCACAGGTATAAAAAAGATTTTCTTCAGTTAAAAGGGATAGTACATAATTAAAGTGGATGGAAGCGGGTTTGTAGAAGGGGGATTGGCAGAGATACATATTCCAGCAGAGACAAGATCAGGATTTTTCTTTCAAGACATCATATCATATCATGAGCGTGCACCGAGAAGAGGGAGATAATATGCAGATATATATGCAGATGGGCGCATAGGCGCGTGGTAATCGGGGAATCTTCATTGTCATGAAGAAGACTTGGTCGTGCATTTATCTGGCTTTGGATTGGTAGCTGTATTGAAAGTCTTGGTGTTGTTGTCTTTTTCTGCTATCTTTTGTTGTTTATAATATCACCCAGTTGCTATGTGCTCAGTTATGGTAAACGATGGATGGATATGGCATTGTGTATTTTCGACCTTGTCCTTGAGATCCCGCTGGAACAGCAGCAGTGTGAAGTGAAGAGGAGAAGAGAAGGGAGAGAAGAGAAAGAAAACTAGAAATGAGTAAAACGACAAATGATGTTGAATAAATAATTAATTAAAATGAGAATTGAGAATTCAATCACTGAAGACAAATGTTGCCATGCCGGACATAACTTGGACCTGCATGAAGAAGATTTGTCAGCATAGGTAAAGAGCATGGTAGTGCGACGTGCCTAAACGCGTAACAAAATGAAATAACAGAAAGGAGTGAGAAAACTTACAGTACATCCATCCTCATTCGAGCCGGTAGCTCCATGATACATCCCATTCTCATACTTACACTTACCTCCCAAGTTATCACCCACAATCTCAACCTTGAAATTCAGTTTCTTATTCGTGGTTGGCTTATTCTGGAAGATAGAGATCCAAACGGCACCGTTCTTCCTGCCAACGCCCAAGTTCACGGGCGCCCAGTTGCCAGTTGGCTTGCTGCCATCACCCCATTGGCAGCCCTCTTGAATCGAGACGCCCTTGGGGTTCACGTAGTATTGGGCGGAGGTGTCCATGCCCTTCCATTTATAGTAACTTCCGGCATCAGGACAGGTGAGTTCCAGTGTGGAGCCAGGATTTGAGGAGAGGGGAATGGTTTCGGATTCGGTGCCTAAGGGAGTATAGCTAGTTAGGTAACAGGCTTTTTTATGCGGGAAAATGGTTTAATACAAAACATAGAAAACTTACCGGGATAATCAGTACGGCAAACAGCAACGACCTTGTCCATGGTGTTCTTGACTTGAACGCCACCAGCGCCCTTAATGCAGAGTTTCTTGGAGAGGGTGGGGTTGGTGAGGTAAAGCTTGCCATCAGAGCACCTCAGGCCACCAACGGATTGGCCAGTAGCACCCTGGGTGGATGGCCATTGCGACTTTTGGTAACCAGGCGGGCAAGCGTACGAGCACATAGCTCCATCCTCGCACTTGTCACCTTTGATACCAGTGCGGATGTCGCTGACAGATTGGCCCTGCACAGTGACGAACTGGAGACCGCTCCAGCCATCCAATCCCAGCCAGTCGAGGGAGATGGGACCGTAGTCGGAAGGGAACTCAGAGCAGGGTATCTCTCCGCTAGGGAAGTCGATGTCGACGCCATTGCCACCTTTGGCGGGTTCGGTTGGGTATTTAGTGTCCACTGGCACGGAGATGCTTGGGATTGAGATAGGAGGTAGTTCAATCTTGGGCTCTTCGTTATAATTAGCGGCTTCCTTGGTAGGAGACGGGGTTGGGGCTGGGGTTGGGTTTGGTTTCTCGTAGAATTGAGCAGCCTTGGGGCTTGTGTTGGTTGGAGATGCTGTAGCACAAGCGTTTTGAGGAATGTTGGGGTCAGACAACTTTAAGGAGCCGTCCTGGATACCGGCACAGGCTTCCTTGGGGTCGATAATCTTGCCATCCAACTCGTAGGCGTACACAGTGGGTCCTGGAACAACAACAACTTCAGTCGTAGCGGGATTAGGGGCACGCTTGACATGGTTGTGATGATGATGATGATGGACATTGTTATGCTTATGGGGCTGGGCACCGGCGAGAGAGCCGGCTGCAGCGACGGTCAAAACGACGGAGGTGGTGAACTTCATGGTTGGGAGCCTTGTTGCTCGCTTGTAGATTCAAAATAAAGAAAATGCCCGTACTGACGTCAAGTCGCACGTAATTGATAGTAAGGACTGGCACGAGGTCTCTCGGAGACCCCTTGGTTGGTTTGTCGAGACGGGGCTAGCCTTGATCAATTGATTGATCCCTTTGCTTGAAAGGGCGAGGAGAGTCTATTTGGGAGATCAGCTGTTAAAAGGAGTGTGTTGATAACAAGGTAAAAGAACAGCATGATGGAGGGGAGGAAGAGAAGTAAAAACCATCCCAATGTTTACGATGGAACTTTGGGATAGGGGACAACCATTTTGAAAATCATGTGGCCGGTTGTCACAGGTGATAGATGATCCCAATCGCGAACATCCAGAGGCAAAAATGTCAACATGGAGATGGTACACCATAACATACATTGCAGATATCAAACGAAAACAGTTGGAGAGCCGAGTTTGCCTCTATACCAGTTGAAGTTGGAGATGAATTCGATGCGCGCACAGCGGTGGTGATTGTGTAGAGGTGTATATCGTCGCTTTGATCATAGACACCAAAGAGCGAAGTACGATACGGGGCAGAGATGGGATAGGGAGGGACGGAAATCAAACAGCAACAGCACGGGTTTCCGAATGAGCGTGAGAGGAAGACAAGAGACTGCCTTCTTCCAAGTCGGAGGGAAAAGGAAGAAAAGGAACGGGGATGGTGAAGTCGGGGCTAGCGGGTGGGAGTGGACAAGGGATAGAAAATAACGCTCAGAAGGGGGGGAAGAGAAGGGGAAGAAAACAAAAAGGGCGGAGGAAGGAGGGAGAAGCTCAGATGTCCCATATTACGTTATCCGAGCACGCAGAGAGGGAGGGTACGGTAATTAAGGCGGTTAGCTTGGTTAGGCGGTAATTCCAGTACGTTGCCCGGGGCGGTTGGGGTGTGGTGCTTGGCAGTGAGTGTCCTCCCTCCTCCTTTTGCCTACACAGGTAGCCTGCCATCCAACTAAATCAATGATATAGACAGATTTTGGTTGACGTATCCATGCCGCCAATTTGGAAAGTTTCAAGGTTGATCCAGCCTGGACCAGGGCGCAGAGCAAGCTGGCCCAGCCAATAATCACATCCAACAACACCCATCTGGGAGCGGGCGTGGGGACTGTGGGCGGGTGTAATTACACCGCGTGTCTATCACTGTGCAACGACCTACAGCTCACAAGGCACTACACTCTACCACTGGTGCGTGGCATTTGAGCTGACTCAGGGGAGGGGCGAGTTGGGATTCTCATTTTTAACTGGCAACCTTGGAGCTGCCACTCTTTGCTGACCACCAGGAACTCGGGGCTCCAGGTGGTCACCGGCCTGTGTGCCTGACTGATGATTTGGTTGTTGGGCGGAAATCCCGAAAGGTAATGGATCGAACCAGTATTTGGGTACTTTGGTACCTGTGGGCTTCCTTGTACTGAAAAATTACAATACCCCCTTGTGACAGCTCCACTGACCATCATTAAAAACATTTACGATACAGCAACAATGAAAAAACCAATTTCTTTTTCCCCGATTTGTGCCTGGCGCTAAACCCTTCTCAGCGCTGTCGAAAAAACCTTGTTTCCATCCTCGGCTGCGCCAAGACAAGCCACAATTCGATGGTTTGGAGAAACTTGAGATCCTCTACGTTAGTTTAACCTAAATACACTCCACCTGCCAATGGCAGCCCTTTGACTGATGGGATGCTGGCAGAGCCAAATGCCGGAAGAAAAGACTCAGGAGCCGCCCAGGGTTCAGACGAGGACATCTCTGAATGGATAATGTTGCAACCTCCCAATCCTCCACGGGTATTTCATGAAATTAAATACAGTACGGAGCATTACCTGGCACGTTGTGTGGTAGCTAACTGTGGAAGGGTTTTCGAGATTCCTAAGCACTTCCAAGGTTTGGCGCTGAAATCTTGCTTTGTTCTTGAACATTTTTATTCTGCTTCATAAATTAAGGGTTGTAAATATTGTATTGTATTGTATTTTATATTATTTTTTATTTTTATATTATTTTTTATTGTCTTCTGCATTTTTTTGTTACAGATGCTTGCTGGATATCTTTGTTTGTTTCTGAATGCATTGACAATGTAAAAATCCCTCTTCCCCCACCTCTCCCCCATCTGTTGACATTGTGCGTAAATTCAAATTCAATGATTGGAAACCGTTGGCATTGAGCTGCTGCTGCCACGTAGACAGATGGAACTGCTGGAGCAAACAACCATTGTATTCAGCGCTCTGCAAGGAGAGTACTTGACTGCCAATCAATTATCAGTCAATCAGTCAGCCAGCTTAATTCCCTTCTTTTCATTTATCCATTTGCATACTCCATAGTGGAGAGACTTTTGGGGACTCCAAGATCTATAGGCTGTGCAGGACAGTTTGACACAGGACTCCATAACCTTTTCACTCTGCTCATTTTGCCCCCCTTATGTTGCTTTGATGCAGGTCCCAAGATGACATATTGGTCTTTCATCCTACTCCGGAGTCACTGGCATGATGGGGCCAATTTCATTGGAACAGTTTAGAAGGTATGGATGTTGGTGTATCCTTGGCAGCTATCAGCATGAGGAATAATAGTGTCTGCCATACTGAGGAAAAAACTGCATCCTGCAGAGGCTCAGTTTTGAGAAGAACAAAGAGATATAATTTCAATTTTCTCTTCAAGATCATTAGGACCAAAAATTCCAAAGCAAGATCTGAAAACAGTTGAACATAGTTTAAAAGAAAGGCCCACTTTTTTTTTTAAAACCATGACTCTATTAACCCATCTAGAATAAGCATAATCTACGGAATACACTGTCTGCGCATACACCACAATACATCTTTATTCAATCTCACCACCCTCAACATAAGGGTTAGGGATAGGTTAAAATCAGGATTAGGGTTAGAATTAGAATTAGTTAAGGATTCTTAATAGTCTGAGAAAGAAGATAAAATCACTACTTCCAAGAGCATATAAAGATGTGTGAGAGATAATGTGTGAGGTAAGACCGGTGTATGTAATTGTAATGAGCGCTAACACACACTGAAGGTTTTTCCAGCTGAGATGAGTGTTATGATTATCACATCTTTATGCTCTTGGCGGAAGTGATTTTATCTAATAATCTACCCCTAATCTAACCCTAGCTCGAGTGTTGAGTGGTGAGGTTGAATCAGACATGTTGTTAGTAATAGTTATGTGTGGTGTAGTTAAGTGGATACTGTGGGACGTCTAAAGTGGTTGTATTTGGTGGCTATCTCAGGGATGCTATATACTACTGTGTGGTGCGCTAGTCCATAATAGGAAGCCTCGGCTCCAACAGATACTACTGCTACCCTGATCACATGTCCCCTATCTTATTTTTCTTCTCTTCTCTTTTCTTTTCTTTCTTTTTCTTTTCTTTATCTTTTCTTTTTCATTTCTTTATTTAAAGATATCTCGGCTAGCTAGTTAGACTGGTTTATTTTAGATGGCTTCAAAAAGTGGGCCCGAGGCAACTTACACCAACATTCAACTTAGCCTCCAAATCAAAAAGTATGTCCAACTGTAACCCCGCAAAAATCAACATGTATGGACCCACGAGAACCAGCAAAAGAGCCCCATGCCATGCATACAGATTGCCGTTTATTTGCAAACGTCACTCTGAAGTACGGTCTATTTGCTCGAGTTCTTCTCTCAATCTGTACACCGTCTTTCCTCTTCATTCAACCAGAAATTTACCATTCCTGCCATGTTGAATCAACGATTCTGACACCGTCTAATGAGTCGAGTTCTCCTTGGTTTCTTTACTTCTCTTTTCCAATTCACTTCAAATCCAATATGGTGTGGAGGATATTGAATTGTGCAATTCGCGCGAAGCGAGCGAGACAACCCACACTCCATTCAAGATATCGTTGTTGTCGCTAGACAAGCTGATCCAATACCTGTGGGTATTTGTTTTCTGTTTTCCTTTGGCACTCAAGGCACTGGAGTCATGTCTTCTCCGCCGCGCCTGAACCTCGAGGTTTTTGAGGGATTTTGCTGGTGACGAATCTTGATAAAAGTGTGGTAAAAGAATTCAATAAACCAACACCCTCGGCCCCCCTTATTCATCGACCGCGCTGGGAGTTGACCCAACATGTTGTCATGTCGTGGTTGAAATACCTTCCCGTTCTGTGCTCTATCATACACGACCATAGGGAGTGGAGGACACGGCTTTCTGTCCCTCAGCCGTACTTATGTCACTCGCCGGCCAGCTAGTAGTTGGAAGGATGAACACCAACGAATTCCAGCTGTCATATCATATTTCTTTTGAGCTTATCTGTTTTTTGGAGAGTGGGGTCTCTTTTTTCTGTGTGTATGCTGGTGCCTTTGACTTTCTCCTGCCATCCCACTGAGGTATGAGATTTCCGAGACCATTTAATTAACTTTAGCAGATGATTGAACAAAAAGAAAATATCGTAGTTGGTCGATGTCAGTTGATTTATTTCGTGAAGTATTACCAGTAAATTTTCAGAGGAAAGGGTGTATATCTTGGTGCAATGATATTTTGAAGATATGGCATTTGTGTTTGGTATTCAATCTCTACACTCAATATATATTTATACGAAAGGGTAGCCCCCATTGATATTCAATTTCCAATTTTCTCTGGGCTATCCTATCAATCTCAATTTCCATTTCTATTCTCCTCCAGCCGGGAGGAATATTCCTATCCTTCTGAGAATGACCGCCTGGGGTTCATAATTATGGGCGACTGACTTAATTATCTTCCCAGAGCCACTCATGGCTGATGGAACATGTAAGAGCCGTGCTCTACTTTTTCAAGTTTCTAATAGTCCCTTAACATGGTCTTTGTCAGTCTAGTCCTCATTTTTACATATGAGTTTATTGGAAAGTGGTGAGGGAAACTTTTCGAGTCCATTACGACCTTTGTGGCAATGGAGCATTGTTACAATGAAAAAGGGCATCAATCAGTGATTTCACAAGGGGAGCTATTTCACAACCAGGGCTTTTCAACACCTTTC